AGAGCGGTAAAATTAATGTCCAAGACTTTCCTTCCTTTAAGAATGTTTACCACCGTACCTCATGTATTGTAATCAGGAAATAAACTGCCTTTTTAAATCAGAGTTACTTATTAGGAAGTCCGGTTTTGGCTGGTAGAAATACAGTGCAGAATTGATATCTAAGTTTAACAAATAAGAAATCCAGAGTTTGTAACAAATACTCAATTGCTTTGATGCTAAACATTAGTTTTGTTACTCTAAGATATCAAATATATGATACATTATATACATGGGCAACACTTTGTCACGTGTACAATATACAATGTAATCGGCAAAGTGTTGTTAATTTCTTATAGCAAATTCTATCAATAAGTAAATCAGTGTAAAAGTTTTTCCTAACTAATTTATACAATGATTGTAATAGAGTGTTTTTTAGTTTAATTGATTCTGTTGAAACTTTTAAACGAATTGCCAGCTTATTTATTGAGAAACCTTCCATTAAAAAAGTTAAATGTTTTAAACCTCTTTTCATTCTTAAAATTTTAAACATATTTTATAGCGTTCTTAAAAATCTTTCTTTTCATTTATATTGTTTGTTTAAAGATGTGTACTTTTCAAATCTCTAAAGTTATTAAATTTCTTGAAAGGATGATTGTTCAAAGAAAAGAATTAGTTGTAACAAAGTTTAATACAGGTGTATTAACCTTCAATACAGGTTTATTAAGAAAGACAGGATCAATAAAGTAGAAGATTCAATGAAAGCAAAGAGGGGGGAGGACTAAAAATACGTATCTAGGAGGGGAGACTGAATGAAGATATTAGATAAAAGATAATAAATTCTCATTTCTCCCTGAAAGGATATTCTTTTTAACATAGTTTTTTCTTCGAAATGCGGGAAACTATTTAAAATAATGCGCAAACACACTTAGTACACAAAAATGTTGCAGTCAATATGTTTATCATTTCAAATTGTTATTTTAGTTATAGAATTGATATTTCTATACATGACCGTGCCTTTTTTTGAAGCCTCGTTTTCACTTTTTTCCCTGATGTTCTGCTATATTCATATAGTCACACTTACAGTAAGTATATTATCATTAAAAGAATTTTTAAAATCTATATTTATCATTTTAGACCTTGATCATCCAGAAGAAAGCTAAATTTCAGAATAACATATCTGCTGTGGTAGTCATCTATATAGCAAAGGTTTTACATTTTCTAAAAATGAATCATATAAAAGATAATTATTGATGAATTTTGTATAATTCTTTTTTTAGGGCATTCTCTTGGCCTCCTCTGTAAGCCTAATACTCTATGCTGCCCTAGCTGATCCCAATAGCCTTTTTCTTAGAAAAAGAAAGAGGTAAACAAATAAAATTGTATTTTCAATTTTATAGATTGTTTCAAGTTTCCAAAGTTTTTAGTTAATATAAGTCATCATGTTAAATACATATTATACAAATGTAAAATTCTTAATCTTTTTTGTCCATATGTAGTTACAAAATTGTCAAAAGTAAAATATTGGAAACTTCAAAAACATTATCATGTTATGCATATGTAAGTTTTCAATCATAAATACTCTTTTTTAATGGCTTATCATAATAACAAATTAGATTTAAACTTTTAATATGCAACTTTATAAAATAAAAACTGAGGCGCTACAATTGGTCAAAAAGCCGATCAAGTATAATTCCGTTTAATTTTGAGGTTTCCTTAATATGAACTAAATTAACAAAATTATAGTGAAATAATCATTTTTTTCCTTTCTTCAATATCTAATAAGAAAATTCTTTAAAACGATTAAAGCTCAGTCTAGTAGAAAATAGGTATAGATATAAAATAGTTCTTTTTTTTTCTCCGATCATAACTCAGGAACCCTTTGACCAATTTGATTTGGGAACTCGGGAGAACCACAGGAATGTTTATAGTAATAAATTCTAGTTGAAAAGCTTGACTTCTATAGAGAAAGTTTAGTTACCAGACAAAGCTGGGTTACCAAGCTTAATACTAGTTTGCATCATAAGAGCCTACCTAACCAATAATAACACATTATACCAAACTATGAACATTCCCGTGGTTTTACCGAGGTTACCTATCACAATTTGAGGCAGATCGATCCATGTGTTCCTGTGTTATGAACAGACATACAAATAAACAAACAGAGATTACAACTTTATATATATAGATGATACTTTAAGAAATATATCCAACGTGAGGCCGGGTGTGTGTATGTAGCAGAGTTTCTTTATTGTATAATAAGAAATTTAGTTTTCTTTATCAAAGTTGTGCAGCATTCCTTTTTTATATCTTGGTATATTGGCTGGACATTACACTTTATGCACTCTTATCAAGTGCCCTATAGTCTCAACTAACCAGAGAAAATTAGACTTCAGAGCACAACACTTAACATACGGTACTAGCATTCCTTTTTATATCTTGGTATATTGGCAGGACATTAAACTTTATGCACTCTTATCAAGTGCCCTATAGTCTCAACTAACCAGAGAAAATTAGGCTTCAGAGCACAGCACTTAGCATACGGTACTTTCATTCAACCCTGTTTCATGAATGGAATTTTGTAGATGCTGATTTTAGTTATTTTTGTTTTCTTTTTTAATTTCTGGAATAAAAAACTACACAATTGCATTAACTCAATAGAGATATCTCATTTGTTAAGTTTAACCATATCATCTTAAATTTTAGGCTCAGGGGTTGAGGCCAAATATGTATAATTATACATTGTACAGTTATAAAAATCCATGCAGTTATACAGAGCATACATGTTGTGAATCGAATATTTTCCATCACCCAACAACAAAAGCTGGAAATTCTTGTATTGTGGATATCGAGCTCAATGCTTTATCTCGATCTTTTCTTAATCTGAAGATTAATTTAATCTTTTTATCCCGCAGTGTAATCCTACCCTGAAGGGATAATGAAGAGATTAATCATTGATCTTTAGATTAAAGTGTCCACAGTGGATATCGATATCAAGCGATCTTGAATATGAGGATCCAACACAAATATTCCCAGCTAAGAAGAGATTTAACACTCGCATTGTCAATGCAATTAATATATTAAATATCATGAAGGATTCGTAGTAATTTTATAAAATTACTACAATTAGTACAGTACGAGTTACGACAAATAAAGAGAAAAAATCTCAAATTGCACAAATATATTCGTATTATCCTTTTAAATTAAAAATGTACAATCTTTCCTTATAAAAAGAGTTTTGATTGTTTCCACCCAAACATTGTTTATTTTTGATAAAGTATTTAAGGGTCAACGAATGCAAAACAAAAAGAAAACATGAAATGTGACAAATATGAATATATATCTTATAAACAGGATTACCAACTAAATATGAAGATTTAAAGCTTGATTTTTGGTTTCTTCATTTAATTGAGTATTGTGATGGTTTACTAAATTTACAAGCAAAGTAGTATTCCAGTTTGGCCCACAAGGAAACCTGAATGCAATAAAACGTAATGAACAAATTTCGTAAAATCGTCTCTGAAGTCTCATCTTTTGTGGGCAGGGTAACCCTGTATAGTGTATATAAACTAAGATTGCTTTAAATATAATTGCTATATAGAAACACTGTTCTTAAAGACAGGTTAACAATGTTAAACAAATCCTTTAACACAAGTATGAATAACTGTGAAGGGTTTACAACTGTAAAGGGGTATAAGGAAAACTGTGAAGGGTTTACAAGGAAAATTTTAAAAGTGTTTTCAAGGCAAAATGTGAAGGGGTTTACAAGGAAAACTGTGAAGGGGTTTACAAGTAACAATGTGAAGGGGTTTACAAGGAAAACTGTTAATGGGTTTACAAGGAAAACTGTGAAGGGGCTTACAAGGTAAACTGTGAAGGGGTTTACAAGGAAAACTGTAAAGGGTTTTACAAGGAAAACTGTGACGGGGCTTACAAGGAAAACTGTGAAGGGGTTTACAAGGAAAACTGTAAAAGGGTTTGCAAGAAATACTGTGAAGGGTTTTACAAAAAAAACTATGAAAGGGTTTACAAGGTAAACTATGGGTTTACAAGGAAAACTGTAAATAAGTTTACAAGGAAAATTGTTAAGGGGTTTACAAGGAAACCTGTGAAGGGATTTACAAGGAAAACTGTGATGGGTTTGACGAGGAAATCTGTGAAGGGGTCTACAAGGAAAATTGTCAAAGGGTTTATAGGAAAACTGTGAAGGGGTTTACAAGGAAAACTGTGAAGGGGTTTACAAGGAAAACTGTGAAGGGGTTTACAAGGAAAACTGTGAAGAAGTTTACAAGGAAAACTGTGAAGAGGTTTACAAGGAAAACTGTGAAGAAGTTTACAAGGAAAACTGTGAAGTGGTTTACAAGAAAAACTGTAAAGGGGTTTACAAGAAATACTGTGAAGGGGTTTGCAAGGAAAACTGTGAATGGTTTACAAGGAAAACTGTGAAGAGGTTTACAAGGAAAATTGTGAAGGGGTTTACAAGGGAAACTGTGAAGGGTTTACAAGGAAAACTGTGAAGGGGTTTACAAGGAAAAATGTAAAGGGGTTTACAAGGAACATTGTGAAGGGGATTACAAGGAAAACTGTAAAGGGGTTTACAAGGAAAACTGTGAAGGGGTTTACAACGAAAACTGTGAAGGGGTTTACAAGGAAAACTGTAAAGGGGTTTACAAGGAAAATTGTGAAGGGGTTTACAAGGGAAACTGTGAAGGGTTTACAAGGAAAACTGTGAATAGGTTCACAAGGAAAACTGTGAAGGGGTTCACAAGGAAAACTGTGAAGGGGTTTACAAGGAAAATTGTGAAGGGGTTTACAAGGGAAAATGTGAAGGGTTTACAAGGAAAACTCTGAAGAAGTTTACAAGGAAAACTGTGAAGGGTTTACATGGAAAACTGTGAAGAAGTTTACAAGGAAAACTGTGAAGGGTTTACATGGAAAACTGAGAAGAAGTTTACAAGGAAACTGTGAAGGGTTTACAAGGAAAACTGTGAAGAAGTTTACAAGGAAACCTGTGAAGGGTTTACATGGAAAACTGTGAAGAAGTTTACAAGGAAAACTGTGAAGAAGTTTACAATGAAAACTGTGAAGAAGTTTACATGGAAAACTGTGAAGGGGTTTACAAGGAAAACTGTGAAGAAGTTTACATGGAAAACTGTGAAGAAGTTTACAAGGAAAACTGTGAAGAAGTTTACAAGGAAAACTGTGAAGAAGTTTACAAGGGAAACTGTGAAGGGGTTTACAAGGAAACTTGTGAAGGGTTTACAAGGAAAACTGTGAAGAAGTTTACAAGAGAATGTGTGAAGGGGTTTACAAGGAAAACTGTGTAGAAGTTTACAAGGAAAACTGTGAAGGGGTTTACAAGGAACACTGTGAAGACGTTTACAAGGAAAACTGTGAAGACGTTTACAAGGAAAACTGTAAAGAAGTTTACAAGGAAAACTGTGAAGGGGTTTACAAGGAACACTGTGAAGAAGTTTACAAGGAAAACTGTGGAGGGGTTTACAAGGAAAACTGTGAAGGGGTTTCCAAGGAAAACTGTGAAGAAGTTTACAAGGAAAACTGTGAAGGGGTTTACAAGGAACACTGTGATGAAGTTTAGAAGGACAACTGTGAAGAAGTTTACAAGGAAAACTGTGAAGGGTTTACAAGGGAACTGTGAAGGGATTTACAAGGAAAACTGTGAAGGGGTTTACAAGGAACACTGTGAAGAAGTTTAGAAGGACAACTGTGAAGAAGTTTACAAGGAAAACTGTGAATGGTTTACAAGGGAACTGTGAAGGGGTTTACAATGAAAACTGTGAAGAACACTTTTGAAGGGTTTTAAAATTAAAATGTTTTAATTTTTACAAATTTTTCTCAAGTTTTTAAAAGATTTATATCATTAGCACTGCAGGATATAAAAATAACATGAAGGGTGTTGCAACGTGTTCGGTGGGGGGGGGGGGGGGGGGGGTCTTGATCTAAACTTATCCAAATAAAATAAAAAAGTTTCCGAGGTCTGATATTTTGTTTTTGGTTTCGTTTATTTTGAATGCTTGATATTGATATTCAATTGGGCACCAAAACAGGATATTTGAAGAGGAAGTAAATCAATCCATAATCTGCATAAGACGAAGATCAATGCTTGATCCCCGAGATTCACTACACATATGTATTTCTTATATTGTTATATATAGGTTTGGTAAATATATCTGTCCTAAGATAGTACAGGACACTCTAGAGGTGGATACCTTGGATAACAAGATGAATACCACTAAAGAGGACATCACGGAGAACAAGATGGATACCCCTAGTGAGGACACCACGGAGAACAAGGAGGACAATGTCAGTTTTTTATAAGAACTTTAAATTAAATGTGATAATTCAAAAAGGTTCATATATTCTGAATTCAGAAACACAATAATGCTTTTTCTGATAGTAATAAATCTTCCCATGGGGCATGAAGTTGATGTTTTGTAAATACAGATTTATAAATCTTAAAGGGAAGAAGAGAAGATGATATAATATAAAACTTGGAAGGAATAGGAGAGAGGATGGTTTAATATAAAACTTGGAAGGAAGAGGAGAGAAGATGGTATAATATAAAACTAGGAAGGAAAGTTTCTCTAAAATCCATCTAAAGATCAAAGAATAAGATAAATCAAGATAAAGAAAAAATTAATGAAGAATTCTTGTCAAGATAATTAATACTACTTTATATGAGACATATTACACATTTGGGAAATGAACGTTTACTTTTTAACACAGATACTACGTTTTACAACTATATTTTTGAAAAAGTTCTCATATCTTTAATGATGTTAGCTTAAAAATTGAAGCATAAACTAAAGAAAGATAGGTTGCTCAATCTTTATATATGTATTCTTTCAGATATGCATTCTCTATGATAAAGTCTCTACATGTAGTTAATTCTATATTGTAGTCTGCTGCAATCAAACTTTAAATAAGTTTAAAGTAGATTCATTACCAATACAAATATATCCATAGATATACTTCATGTTATGATACAAATACAAATATATACCTATACATACTTCATTTTATGATACAAATACAAATATCTACCTAATATGTACTTCATTTAATGATACAAAAACAAATAAATACCTATACATACTTCATTTTATGATACAAATACAAATATGTACCTAATATATACTTTAATTCATAATACAAATACAAATATGTACCTAATATATACTTCATTTCATAATACAAATACAAATACATACCTAATATATACTTCATTTCATAATACAAATACAAATATATACCTATATATCCTATATATACTTCATTTCATAATACAAATACAAATATATACCTAATATATACTTCATTTCATAATACAAATACAAATATATACCTATATATACTTTATTTCATAATACAAATACAAATATATCCCTATATATACTTCATTTCATAATACAAATACAAATATATACCTATATTTACTTCATTTCATAATACAAA